AACCGTTAAATTGAAAGTTCAAAACCGAATTCCGGCAGCCACCAAACTCGCCGGAACCAACAACACAGCTCAGAAATAAAGTAAAAAATATTTTAAAAAAATATTATTGCAGAAAAAAATTCGGTTTTAAAAGCCAATGTGATCATCGACGCAAAATCAAACATGCACCAAGTACGTTGAGCCTTTGAAAGGCCAAGAGTGGTACGAGGAATTTGATCTTGGTTGGTTTGTTTGAATGTTCAAAATAGCCATAAGAAACCAAAAAAAAAAATGGCCCCAAGGAGCACGTGAAAGTTGCATATCTCGAATAATATATCCAGCACAAAGCCACCGATGACAACTTTCTGTTCTTTTAATTGAATCAAAGATAATTTCTTTTCACATTTTACACATGCTGATTTGGTCAACTTATTTTAATTGAATCAACTTTCGGAACTCTTTGACTTTGTATGTAATTGTCCAATAATTTTTTTTACATGAAAAAAATGCAAGTTATGGAAAGGTTTTCAAGGGTGTGTTGTTCTCGAGGGTTATGAAAAGGTTATTGTTTTTAACAATTTATTTTCTTTCCTGAATGAAATTCATCGTTTGTGTTCTAATTCAAGTATCTCTTATATTTAACTAGTAGCAAAAAATTTCTTTTTGCTTATAAAAAAATGAGAGCAGTGAATAGTGTATGTTTAGAAGAAGAAAAAAAACCACTTCTTTTTTTAAAAAAATAAAAATGATTATTTTCCTTAAAAAAGAATTTCCGGTATGCACTTGGTACATTATCATAAATTAATTTGCTTAAAAAGCTCAACTTTAAATTAAAATTCATACTACATCTATTTATCTTGTGTTAAAATTTAATGTTTATTTACACCAATAAGAGTGACTAGTATGTCAAATTATCAGTTTTTGTATAATAAATCTAAGTTTTCGTTCTTTTAGCGTGAAGATACATCTGACTAGAATGACCAAACAAGACCAAACTATACCCGACAGAACCATACCACACTGGACCGAACCGAATCAGACTTAATCGGACCAGTTAGACCTAATCATACCAAACTAGACTAGATCAAACAAGACTCATACCAGACCAGATTGGACCAAATTGAACCGAACCAGACCAGATTAAACCAAGCCAGAACGAACTGCACCAGACCAAACCGGATTTGACTATACTGAACTAGACCAAACCAAACTGAACTGGTTCAGACCAGACCAAAATCAGACTGAACCAAATCAGATAAGACCAGACCGAACCGGTCCAGACAAAACCAAAACGTACTTAGCCATCGAGAATACTATCAAAAGTGTCCTGAATGGGAAACTATGATTCAATTCCCCTGTCAATGAACAGCAAGTAAAAGCATCAAAAGCTAATCACCAGGAATAAATAGTAATACCTCTTCACACCATTCCTTAAGTATAGCTTTTGTTCCTTTAATCCAACTAAATTGTTAAAGAGAATAACACTGGAAATCAATGACTAATTTTCCAAACATCTAAATTAAGAATCTGCAGCCAAATCATTATAGAGAAGATCAATGAATCCATTATATGAATATCAGGAGAAAAAAAAAAAAGCAACTACATTACTCTCTTGTTCAAGCCATTGAGCAGTCATCATTGCAACATCATCAAGAAAATACTGACAGTACTAATTTAGAAAAATGGGAGAGAGAAATGGAATCCAATTAAAACAAATCAAAGTTACAAGTTGCAAGATTCAAGGAAGTACGTGGTTCTAAAAGAGCATGACACAAAATAACATACATAAGCCAATTAGTCCATGAAACTAGGCAATCTTTAAAAGGACCCTTGAAGGTAAACTTACTTGAGAGCCTGTGTGACAATATCAGTAGATTCTTTGTCTCATAAGCATAAACATCTTCAATATCATAAAAGAATCATATGAATGTATACTTGCTTTGTAAGTTTTAGTGCCACAAATATTTTGACATATAAGGAGATAATCAGATAAACGAATAGAAAGCTGCGTGTATTAAATAATACAAATCCCATACGTCTATACATATCACATGCCTGGAAAGTAGTTATAGATATCCTTAATATATAACTTAACCAATTGCTAAATATCACACCAATTTAAAAATCGAAATACTACTAAATTAAAAGGCATATTATATTATAAGTCAAACATTTTTCTTTTTACATTTATGTCAAATAAACAGATTACCCAGCAAGTTTTGCTTCCTTAAAAATGGCCTGGGAGAAAAATAATTTGCAAGAACTGCACCCAAGTGTAAAAACTAAAAAACAATCCATCAGTATATGTAAAATGAATGCAGTTTAACACCACATTTTACACAGAATATTTATTTATGTCTATCAAGTCATGAGATGAACTCCATTAAAAAAGTAAGAACGAAGGAATAATTGAACAGATAAAAAAATTAAAGTAAAATGTACTTACGGCCACAAGAACCCTTACATTCCGGGAACTCTATTCAGGCAACACCAATCCGCTATTAAAGCTCTGGCTATAATAGGCTGAAAACAATCAAAGAAATAAACATAATAAAACCCCGAGCAGCAGAGTTTTTTTTTTTTTTTTTCTTCTAATTATGTTCATAATCATCATCAGAAATTAGGAAGAGAGAACTTTGATTCTTTCACGGCCCACGTGCTAGTTCCTTAATCTATTATCGACAAGAGAAAACATGGTAAAGATACAAATAAAAGGTGAAATTGGGTACAAACTCACCTTCAATCACAATGCTTTTGTGCACCTGCCTTAAGTGCGTGATCGTTACGCAAGCATCTGCTTTGACTGATCCACGAGAATCAACCTACCAAAGAATAATATTCACCAATTTGAGTGGTCCTTGCATAGATTGATTACGAGTCATATCTGGCAATTCCAATACCTTGCTTAACACCGTAATTTACTTAATTGTCAAGTTTTAATTTAAGCTTAAGCCAGAATTTAGAGGTCCAACAACAATAAGGCATCCATGATCAAAGTTGATGAGCGCAATATCCTACCAAATTTTGTGATGAGAAATTGAGAATAGAACAAAACAAGATTAACCAACGAATGAAATGAATTATCATTATTTTAAAGCTTTATAATGATTTTATAATTAACAGAAAACCTCTAATCCATACAACACACCAGCATGTTTCTGGTGCTCATCCTTAACAAAATAAGTGTCAACAATCTTCTGAAAGGCGTGCCACGTCAGCAAGCTGTCTGACCCGGCCTGGTGGCACTTCCCCACGGCGCGGTCCACGTTAAGCGTCCGTGCAACGCGGTCCAAGCCGCCATAGAGCGTGTCGCAGAACCTCATCATGTGCTTCACATCGTAAACGTTCTCCCCAAAGAATATCCTCACGGCTTCCAGAAACTCCTCCAACCGGGTCGGCAAATCGCGCCGGGTCAAGATCTTAACCAAGTACCCGAAATCGTAGGCGCTGTGGAACGTCACCCAGCTCACGCCGTCGTTGCACACCAGCCCCGACGACATCACAAGCTCCGCGAACCGCGACGAGTCCACGCCCTCGGCGGCGTTGCGCTCGAAGTCGATCCCCTGCCGCCGGAGCAGCGCCACGGAGTCCGGCGCGTAGCGGTCACGCGCGGCGTCGAAGTCGCGGAAGTTGAACTCCCAGATGCAGCGGGTCCCGGCGACGTCGGGGAGGTTTCCGGCGGCGTCGGAGAGCGTGAGGCCGACCTGGATGAGGTTGAGCGCGTCCACGTTGGACTTGAGGAGGCGGTAGTGGTCGGAGGGGCGCTTGCTGCGGTGGCTGTAGGGTTTGGTGGGGTCCACGTGCGGGCGGAAAATCACGCCGGGGAATTCCGTGTCCATGGAGATGAAAGGGAAGCGATCGATGAGTTCCCCGATGAGTTGGAACTCCGATTCTAGATTGGAGCCCCAAACCTCGCGGATGGCGACCGGGTTCGGTTCTTCGGTGGACACGCCCATTGATTCGCTGTCGTTTTGCTTTCACGTTTTGGTTTGTTGTTTTCCCTGTGGCCTGTGGGAAATGAGCGAGGGTGGAGTGAGGCTTTATACGAGTGGGGGAAGATGTTGCGTCGAAAGTCGAAACTGGTTCTCGTGGATTAAAATTTAAAATAAATAAATAAAAGAGTGTGTAAGTTGAGTCATCGTCATGAGTGTAGCGTAAAAGTGTCAAAGTTGGACGCGTCAGAAAGCTTGACTGAACCAATGCTGACTCAATGCCAGACTTGGTCAGATTAGCCACCTTTTTTTTTTTTTTTCTTTTCTAACACATGCTTCAGAGTCCATGTCATTCTCATCATATCAATCATTAAAGTTACCGTGTCCAAAGTGCAGACTGCAGACACAGTTTTTTTTTTTTTACTATTATATTGTTTTTCTATTTAGGCACGTTACTTTATACACGAAACGGATTCTTTATTTATAACTCCATATCTTCTTCGTTTCTTAGGTAATTATTATCGTTACCTTCGCTATGATCCAAAACCATGCATCTTTCTCGGCCTTTAAAATATCTAATTAAGACTCTCATGGAAGACAATTATTAGGATAAACTTTTTGAATTTTGAAATTCTTAATTAATGCGCACTTTATTAAAAAATTGAATGCATTTCATGTTTTGCGGATGTTGCTATCAGTTTGAGGCAAAGGGTGAGGGGTTACCACTTACCACCGGACAAACTCATGGGTTGGGCCCGTGGGCCGTGTATGGGATTCGATTGTAATCCAGCTAGCTAGCTACATACATGTTTTGATAGATACATGCATCGCATTTCTAGTAGGGGTGGGCAAAAAAAATTAAACTTAGCTGAACTGAACTGAACTGGTGGTGAACTGTACTATAAAAAACTGAACTGTTTGTAAAAAAAACTGAACTGAACTGTTTAAAAAAAACTGAACTGAACTGAACTGTTGTAAAGTTGAACTGTACTGAACTATAAAAACTGAACTGAATTATAAAAATTGAACTATTTTTATAAAAGAATAAAAATTAAATGTTTTTAACATGTTATGTCTTAATAGATTAGCTCGATAGTCTAATAACCAAAATTTTAGAAAAAAAGTGATTTGAAAAAAAATTATATCAATTTTGTTGAACTTAACGGATCAATTGAGCTATGTTGAACTACTTATTTTTAGGCTTAAAATTCACTGAGTTTGTTTGACTTAATTTTATATTTTTTTCCCTTTGAAAAATTTAAATAAAATGGAAAATAAAGTAAAGTTGACAAATGTGTCCTATTTTGATAGATCAATGAGTCAAAATTGTTCAATTCAAAATATCATAACAGTTTAGTGCAGTTTAAATTGCAGTTCAGTTCAAGTTTTTATAGTATAGTTCAGTTCAGTTCAATGACACAAAAGAATAGTTCAGTTCAGTTCGTCTGAACTAATATTTAGTTTAGTTCAGTTCATATGAACTACTTTTAAGTTCAGTATAGTTTTTATAAGTTCAGTTCAATTCAGTTCGTTTTGCCCACCCCTAATTTCTAGGAGACCCATGGTGGTTTTACGAGTAGATATATCTATCTATGACTCCTCCACCTTCAATGTTGCACGCAACTTATTTTTCTATTTGATTTTATTAACTATTATTTCTCGAATCAAATGCGATTATCAACTTATGCTTCTGTCCCTATAAAATTTATAAGTTTCATTTTGTCTTTCAATTTTTTTTTTTTTACTTATTTTGATCCCACTAATTTAGAAATATATGATTTTTGGTTTTCAAAATAATTTAGATAACACTTCATAACTAATTTTAAGTGTTACTCAAAAGTGATACATTTTTAAATTAGAGGATCAAAATAATACAAATTCGACAATTTTAGAATGATTAAAAATATATTTTACTCTATTTTTTAATGAATAATGAGTTAAATAACTAAATTATACTTTTGATCATTTATCTTATTTGTTAAATTTATTTTATTCTTTATCTCTTAACTTCGGACAAATTTGATTCTTTTAAAATAATGATTGCTTTCAATTGTGAGACATGATTTTAGAACATTTTTTTACTGATTCAAAACTCGAAATGTCTCGTTAAATTCACTCATATGAAAAATGTTGAACACAACTAAGATTCAATTAAAAAAAGTATTACAAATATAGTAAAAATTGCATAAAGGTAAGTTTAAAAGACAATTAAAATTTTAAAAATTATAATTTGTTATTTTTCAATTGCTTATGAAACATATTTTTCATGCAATTTTCATGGTGTTTATAGTTTTTATAAATTCAAACATCAATTGAATTTTATAGTTTATATGTATATATTTTTTTAGGTAATATAAAAGGTTTAGATTACGATTAGATACGGCCTATGCAAGGTTAAAATCAACTACTAACATTTTTTTTATAATTTTCATAAAATTGAATCTATTGTTACAAGTTTCATATTTTAAATTAGTCAAAAATTGATTCAAAATCATGTCACAAAATTAAAAATTATTATAATTTTAAAAAAATCAAATTGATCCAAATATAAAATATAAATGACTAAAATAAATATTTTAACAAATAAAAAATTAAAATGAATCCAAATATAACCATTTAAAATAATGCACATAAATATATATATATAAAATGCCTAGATTTTCTTAAATGTAAATTTCCCTGTTTAACGAAGCCAAGTATTTCATGAATCCACAAATAAATTTGTTTAAGACTTACCTAGTGACGCTAGCGGATCTCTATGGAGGAGTGTTGCCCACTAAAATAGGTAAAGTTATATAAGAGGATTCAAACTCACATTAATGAAGAAAGTGAAAGTTTAGTTTACATACTTAATGTTTGTGTCAAATTACGTCAATTTTAAAGAATTATTTATATAAATGGAGAATAAATCTAAAAATAATTTAAAACTCAATTTTATAATTTACTTGTTGAATTTGATTATTGAATCCAATGAGATAAATTTGAGTTAAAGATTGAACTCGATAAATAAATAAATTAAATTTGAGTTGTGTATAATCCAACTCATTTAAATCATAAATCAATTCAACACATAAACATACAATTTATATAATTAATTTTTTATTTAATTTTAATTTATTAAAATTTGAAAGAATTTTCAAAACTTAGTTATAAGTTAATAATAATAAAAGAAGTGAATATTTTAGAATTTCATGACTATGGATTGAGTTTTCCGTTATTTGCAAAGTGAAATAATTTTTATTTTCATTATAAGAACTGTTATATAGTTATATAAAGTGGCATACAAAAGTGTTACTATAGGTATAATATATGTAGGTATATATTTATAATATATATCTACACTTTTTAATAATATACCAACATATATTATATTTATTGTATGGGTAAAAGTAATTTTTAGTAATACGTATTGTGTTACTGTACAATAATACTTTTTGTAGTATTTAATTGTGATTATGTTTTTTTAGAATCATACATTATAACCTTGCAAGGCTAATAGAACAATTTATATTTTATCTTAAAAAAAAGTCAAACAATCATTTTATTTAAAATTTATTATTAAATTATGATTTTGAATTGCATAAGATTCAAAAAAATTGTTAACTCTTGCTTCATGTAATTCGAACTAAAAAACTAAATTGAATTACTAATAAACTTAAACTAAGTCGATTTCAAACTAAAAAAAAATATATTTTAAATTTGAGTCATAATTGTGAGTTAGGTAAAATATTTTTGAATAACTCAACTTATTTTCAATCCTATGATATATGTTTGATAGAGTGAGAGATGAAAGCAATAAATTTCTGAAATACATAATTTAATTGAATGATTTAAATTATAATTACTTAAAATAATTTTGAACATATATGGTCAAGATATCTTCTAATTTCTTACGCTCTAGAGATATCTCACTTGATATGACAATATTGTTGTATAATATAATATAAATATAGTGCTTCAACATTATAACAGTATTTGTCTTGTATAAAAAACAAAAAAGTACTTCTGTAAAAAAAATTTATGACAGTATTGTTGTATAATAATAATAAAGTAAATAATTTTTTTAATAAACCATCGTTAAAATTTACTAATCAATCTATTACAATTCAACATTATTTTTATCTCCTTACGTTGCAACTATCTAGAAATATATATAGAAAGGTCGTCAAAGTGTATCTATTCCGTCAGACAGACTTTTCATTCGTATTACAAAGTCAAACATATGTTTTAAATTTATCTTAATAATTAATTTGACTCGTGATATGTTATCTACACAATAGTCATTTGTCTTAGCAACACTTCTACATTTATTTAAATTTTAAATTAATAAAATCCAATACAATTTAGGATATTCCATTTTTGCATGTTGCTTTGACGTCGCACTAATTACACTACTTATTTTTTACGCCATTAATTCAAAATTCAAAATTTAGATATGTTAGCATATATAAGCTCTCAATAAAACAGTACAGCTGGACCCAATACATTGTTTCTCATATCATTAATTATATAATACATTCATTTCGTAGACATCCGACCAACAACAATAAAATAGTTTAGCTCGAACGAAGTCAATTACTTCATTACAACAACAGCATATGAAATCTAACATTTTTACGCCTTAAAATAAGCCATTTTAGATTTTTAGGATAAATATTTAATGTTGTTCCGGGGCAAGGGGTGCGCTAGGGTTTCGTCCTAAGTCGAACCTCAAAGCCAGAGCATTCAAAAGTGTAATCTGCCTTCTCAACTCTAGGGTTTTGGGTTTTATAGTATGTCGTTCGTGGGCCTCTTGGGCCCCGAGAATGGCGAGATTTTGCTAACCGTTATTATCTCGATGGCGTGGGAATAAAGGGAACAGGTTTAGCCAGGTTCTGACCGACAGGGACCATGCCGAGGGCCCAGTCAGGTTTTGACTGACGGGGTCCATGCCGAGGGCCCAGTCAGGTTTTGACCGACGGGTCCATGTCGAGGGCCCAGACAGGTTCTGATTGGTTGGGCCCATGCCGAGGTGTCGAGAGAAATCCGATATGGGGTGCTCCCGTGTCAAGTCCGCTGAAAACCGAGCTCACCTTTGGGAAGCTGGTTGAGTC